AAAAGGACAAGACTCTCTGCTGTGTCACCTGCTCCACCGTCCCTGCTGCCCACATGGCACTTGGCAACCCCATGGCTTGCGTCTCTCTCTCTCTCTCTCTCTCTCTCTCTCTCTCTCTCTCTCTCTCTCTCTCTCTCTCTCTCTCCACACACACACACACACACCGCTCTTGAGTTTGCCCGTGTTTTTTTTTTTTTGGGGGGGGGGGGCATGGTCAGGAGGACGACCAGGTGTTTCACACAGGCATAGCCTCCAGGTTCCGCTTGCTACTATATCTGCGTCACCGAGGTGCTAGCGGTGTCTGCTCTTACAAGCACCGCTAGCACTGACGGGTGTTGCAGTGAAAAAAAAAAAAAAAAGAGGGAGGAAGGAAATGGGTGGTGGAGTTCTGACAGGGTTCTAAATAGTGACCGCTGGGGCAGGCCACCCTAGAATGGCACATGCGGCCAGTCAGTGTGTGGGTTGCATAAGATTTGAGGAGCAGTCATTGCCTGTGGTAAGTGGCCACCTCTACACAGACCGGGCAGGACCGATTTGGGTGTGGCCTGTGGTAGCGCCGCATCCAACTCTCGCAGTCGGAGATACTGCATCGAATGGCACGGCGTAGGCAAATGTCACGTGGGTCCTGAATGCTAGGAACACATCGAATGGCACGGCATAGGCAAACGTCACGTGGGTCCTGCATGCGAAGAACACAGAGCCACATCGAGCGCAATTGTAGAGGCATTGCCGTTCCAGCCCGTCTACAAATTGGACATGACATGTAAGGCTGCCGTACATGAGTGCAGTGTAGACTGTCATCATTCGTATGAAGACAAAAGCTCGCCCGGGCTATCCCTTCATAATCCTCACGGCACAAGGCATGTGAACCACATGCTAGCTGAATCTCCGGTGGGTCATCACAAAGCCGCATGGAGCAAGTTTCTTGGGTTTCCTCACTATTTAGTCCTTCTCTGTGGGTAGACAACGACCGTGGAGATTGATCCGAAGCAAGGGCGTTCAGCTTCTGGAGGATTTGGTTTGCAACAGCTCGCCCTGGTGGAGACAACCTATCAGTACAGCGCTTTGCAGGTGGTTCATATGATAATCTATTTTCCTCCTCAGGCTGCTGTGTCTGTCGTTCGTCAGGCAAGGAAAGGAAGACCAAATTCCGACTGCGGTTGCAGTAGGTGGCGGATGACCAACACCGCAACCAACCCCGCATGTGGGACATGCCAGGAGAGGATGTGGCGGACAATGGCACTGGGGATAGTCCAGGCAGTAGAGACACAATGTGTGTCTGTGTGTGTGTGTGTGTGTTTGGTGAGATGAGTCCACTGCACCTTGCAATGCAGCGAGCTGCGTTTATATAAGACACAACATAAATAATGCCAATAACACATGCATAACAGCATTGAACGAATCACACCCTGATCCAAGCGAATACTCCATTCGACTGGGTATGCACGACCTCACTGACTTCCCTAAAGAGACACAACGACTGGAGCCCTAGGGCACCAAGCCTTAAGCTGAAACAAACAATACGCAGCAGCTAGGGGAAGGCAGAAAAAGAACAGCGAGGAAAAAGGAATGCGTGATCAACACAGGGCGAAGGCTGGAGGGCAAGGGGGAGGTGGGTGGGCAGACGGACAACATGCTGCAAAGCAAACAGCACAAGGCGGCAAAGAATATATGCTGGAGGGCATGGACGAGGCGGGTGGGCAGGCAAACAGCGCAAAACAACAGAGCACATTGGGTGAAAGACATGGGGTAAACGGATCCGCAAGCAAACAGCGTACAACTGCAAGGGAAACAACAGCAAGACAAACGACAACAATGCAAAAACAACACCCAAAAACAACAAGTATAAACGAGGCAAAGACTGAAAATAATAAATAAACAGATGATGAAAGATTGTTTCGTCGGAGTTGCACCGACTCATCAGGAGGCTGAACCCTCGACAATCTGCAGAATCCCCGTATTTGATGTTTTGGGTCATGAACCCTTTGGCCCTTGTTGAAGGCAGACTGTCCCCAAGAAGAACATAGCAGCGGGCAGCAACCCTGTGAAGCACCAGGCAACACAGTAAGGCAACACGGCTGCACAACACCAAAAACGACTGCAAGGAACGACACGGCACGCCGAACTCGCAGCAGGGCACCCAAGCAGTGAAGCACCAGGTAACACTACCAAGACAACCACACTGCAAGGGACGAGAGAGCAAGCGGACAAGCAGCAGAGCGGCCACGCTGAGGGGCACAAGGCAACCCCAACACGGCAACCAAACTACAGGGCGCGCAAGCAAAGGACCCGGAAGGCACGACCAGCGGACGGGCGGCAAGGCAGCGAAGCAGCGAAGCGCAAGGCAACACCACATCCCGGCCACACCACACAGCGAAGACAGCAGCTTGCCAAGAACGACCTGCGAGGCATGCGGAACAGGCAGCAAGGCAGTGGTGGAGCACAGACGGGGTCGTCCACACATCCAACATGGAGCAAAGCAGCACATCACGTACTCACATCACGGGTGAACCCCACAGACTGTTGGTTCCCACCACCCATTGAGCCAGGGAGACACTCCGACGAGCATCCGTCATCACCTATAGGTAACACAGACATCCCGAACCGAGCGGCCCCCCTAAGAGTGCAGTTGGCACTCCAAACGAGGAACCACCGACTGTTTGGCACTACTTAAGGGTGCTCAGTCGGGCACACACACACAAAAAAAA